CCCCCCCCCCATATTAGAGTGTTTTTTACACGCTTAGGCCAACACAAGCTGAAAAAAAATCACCATTTGGATTTTTTGCTTCCTTTCAGCCTGTTTAACAAGAGTTATGAAAGGTGAAAAGAATGTATAAAAGATCTCCATTACCATACTCAGCCTCTCTTCTCTCTTCTTGCTCTAGCTTCTTGGACCGAATAGTCTAAGCAGCCTGCATCACTGCCTTTCTTGCTTCTGGTTTCTAACCACGTGTCCTATCTGCCAGCGGATTACTTCTCAGGCTGAATAAAACCCACAGGCGCATTCAGTGTCTAACCTGAATCGGTAAATAACAAGGCATCTTGCATTATTTGGGGCTTCCAATAAGGACTCGGTGATTCAAATCCATGAATAAGAAAACAGTAGGGTTCAGGTAAAAAGCAAAAAAATTCAATTTTTAACAGTGACGGGTTTTTGATAAGACCTGTCTGCTTAATCTGAAAGATTTTAAAGAATGACAACAATGAAATCCCTAGACGATTCTCAGAAACACATCACCCTGTACTGCCTGGGTCGGTTTAATATTCAAGTAGTCAAAACCACAAAAGTGTCACAGTATAGTAACACGAGGCAATCTCCGAGTCCCGAGCAATATTTTTATTATTCCCAAGACGCCGAATTTCCTGGAGGGCTTTTTGTTTGAAATTTAGCATTTCCAGCAGATCAGTGTCTAGATTTCTCTTTGCATGTCAATGGGTACTTCTACTAACAGATGTTTTCAAAGTGCTCTAAATAGGTCACCGTACAGGTGTACCACCGCTGCGAACGAACTGGATAGAAGGAGAAATCCAAGTTCAACACCCACTTACGTTTCCTTTTTAATTCAAAGGTACTACTCGGAATAGGACTTGTGTTCATAGACACTCTCCGAAAATCCGCCGCGGATTCGTTCTATTTACAGCCATTTCTTTCAAAAACACATGTTAGCATATACTCTGAGAGTCCATCTGGAATTAAAATGAGCTCCTCTGCAGGGCGTTTCATTTAGCACTACACAAAAATTAAGCCCCGAAAGTCGATCACATACACAGGGACGCGGGCCTGATTACAGATTAGGCTTTTATTCTTTCGCTTCTTCCCGACCCCGTGGTTTTCAGTCTTAGGATAAAAAGAGATGAAAAGGGGGTGCTGCGCCCCTCACGCCTTCTGTAAGCGTCGCCTACGTTGCATGTCTAAACGTTCTGACACCGGGAGGGGGAAAAATTCTTTCTTAAAGGTGGCCTATTGGACGAACACGTTTCTGGGGGCAGATGCAGCCTAAACTAAAGAGGAATCCTGAAGGTGGACAAAACCTGCGAGGCACTTCGGCGGCGGCGGACCTCCCCCGTCTGAGAAAGGGCGGAAAACACTAAAGCCAGGAGGGAGATTTAAAAGCGAGCGGACTAAAAGAGAAGGAAAACGCAGGGGGCACACGGGAGCTCCGCCTACCTCGGCTACCAGCCCTCCCCGGCGCTCCGTGAGCCCGAAAGCCGCGGCAGGAGGAGGGCCGGGGCCCGCGGGCAGCGCTGAGGCGGCGGCCGGGCGAGCGGCGGCGGCTCGGCGGGAACTCCGCCGCCGAGCATGCCGGGAGCCGCGCCCGCTGCACGCTGGGTCGCGTAGTTCCCGCAGGCCTTACTCCAGGTTGCAGCGAAAAGCGGCCGGCCGCCTGCTGCTCTTTTAAGGCCTCGCGAGCTGCCGCGCCAGATCCACCTGATGGGGAAAATGTCGGTAACGCCCGGCCGAGGGAGCTGGACCAAGATTCCCCCGGCCTGTGGGAAAAACGAAAGGAAGGACTCAGCCACCTTCCCGCTCAAGTCCCATTCAGGCATTGAGCAAAGAGGCGGGCTTGACAGCGCTTCCCCTTTAAGAGGGGGCGGGGCTCAGCCTGCCGTTTGGCCGTCCTCCGCACCCTCCCTCCGGGCCGAAAGTTGACAGACCAATCGCCCGGGTGGCGGAGGGAAGGCGGGAGAATGCGAACCCTTCGGTAGGGCGGTAGGGGCGGGCCCCCGGCCTTATTAGGAGTAAGTCCTGCGCAGGCGCAGAGGCGGCCACAGGCGGAGGGGCGGGGGCAGTCCAGTGAGAGACTCTTCTACAGGCACCGAGGGTGATTGGGAGAAGAGAGGGCAGCGAAGGGCTTGTCATGGGGATCCGTGCTACGAGACGGCATTAGTAGCATCTGGGGACTCCCAGGGGGACAGGAAGTGTCAACGCCCGGGACCCCGGCGCCAGCTCCGCTGGGGGGATCCCCGCTGCTCTAGTCTTTGGGAGGGAGGGGAAAAAGGAGGGAGCCCTGATCTCGCCCCGCCCCTGGGCTTGTTACCGCGGGGGCGGGGAGTGAGGGCTTCTTTTGGGGGGAGTGGAGATCGGGGGACTCGGCTGTGCCCTCTTGAGCGGCGGCCGGTGTCCCCGCGGCGCCGGGCTGCCGAGCAGAGGAGCCGCGGCGGCTGTGGCTGTTGCATGTGTGGCTGCTGGATGCGGAGGCGGCGGCGGCGGCGGCGGCGAGGAGCAGCAGCGGCGGCAGGATGTTAGGGCAGCAGCAGCAGCAACTATACTCGTCGGCCGCGCTCCTGACCGGGGAGCGGAGCCGGCTCCTCACCTGCTACGTGCAGGACTACCTCGAGTGTGTGGAGTCGCTGCCCCACGACATGCAGAGGAACGTGTCTGTGCTTCGGGAGCTGGACAACAAATATCAAGGTAGGGGGCCGCGGAGCTGCGTGTGCGGGTCCTCCCCTCAGTCGGATTCTCTGGCCTCCGGGCACTGTCGCTCGGAGGCTGCCCGGGGAAGTGCCACTTTCCATTTCTCCTGTGACAGTCTCCCCGAGTGCACAGAGGGGGTCTGGTGTGTGGGACGGGGGAGAGGGACTGGAGACCGCGTTCGGGGCCCTCCCTTCCCCCGCTGCGGTCGGCGAGGACCTCTGTGGGGTATCACGGGTGGGGGTGGGGGCCGCTCGTCAGCCCCCGCTGCAGACCCAGCGGCTGCAGCTGGTGTGGAAAGGAATCAGCCATTTTAAGCAGCATTTGTTCCGGCGCTTGCCTGCCCGGTGCCGCAGACCCTCCTGCCCCGGCGAGGGAGCGTGCAGCCGGGCGGGGGGCTGTAGGGAGTGAGCGGCCGGCCGCAGCCGGACACCCGCTGGTCTCCCGGGCCTGGCTTTTCCCCTCTCCTCCGACCCCCACCCCGAGAGCAGATGCATTGGAACGTGCGGGGGGGGGGAGGGGGCGGGAGAGGGCCGCGAAGGCGGACTCGGGGAGGTCCCTCCCTCCGCTCTCCGGCTCCCGGCTCGGGAATTGAGTTCGTTCCCTTCTCCCGCCCCAGGGAAAGTTCCGGGCCGCAGCCTTTTCCTCTGAGCCTTCAGCCAAATGGTTAAAAGGGGAGGGGTCCTCGCGGGGAAAGGAAGAGGGGTGTGTGTGTGGCGGGGAGGGCCTCCGTCCCTGGGGGCGGAGCCTGAGGGCGTGACGTAGGGCATGGGAGGGGCGCGGACGGGCGCGCTCCCGCCCGCCTCGAAGATGGCTGGTGCCCGGAAGGTTTGGGCGGAGTTGGCTGGTTGGGAGGTGTCGGGACGTTGCAGGACGTTAATTCGTCCCTAGCGCAGTCGATGTTGGGGTTTGGGACATATTTGTCGTGGTTTTTCGACTCTTTCTCAACCACTCAATCAGGACGAGGAAACATTCAGCTAACTAGGACCATCGCTGGCCCTAGCACCGCGTAGGTTCCGGGCCTTGCGTCACTTCCGGGCCCCAGGTGGAAGTGGGTGGTTGACAAGGCAACCGCCTGGCGTCCTTTAACCCATGGGTCCCTCCTTCGCCAAGTTTGAGTAATGAGGCAAAAGCCACCCTTTGTGGTCAGAAAACTAAGATAGGGAATCAGCCTTTCCTGCAGAGAGTATCATTTATCATCCACTGTTGGTTGACTTTGGCCTGGTACTAGGAGGGGAGAAGTTTAGATGGGGAGCCGTTTCGTGTTTACTAACCCTGATCAAGGAACAGACCTTGGACATAATGTGGGAACAGCCATACGGACTTCAAAAAGATAACTTTTGGACCCTATTCTTTGTTTTTCTAGACCCTCCACTAATCTTATGATTTAGTCTCAAAGGAACCCACTTCTGGGGTGACATTTTCTGACCTGTAGCATATTAGAATATTTAAGTGTCTCTTTGTTTTTGAATCTATAACTTATTTCTGCCTTCTGAATCCATACGATAGGGCTGATGATAGGACTGATCTCTGTTAGGGGGAAAGAGAATTAAATAGTGATTACTTACTGGGTGTCATTGCTGTGTCCGATCCAGAACATTATTTCATAATTCTCTGAAGTGAAAATTTATTTTACTAAGGAGTTAAAATTTACAAGGAGTTTAAGTCACTTGTTCACTTAATTAGGTGGGGAAGTAGCCTGGCTCCTTCATGTACACATCCTTGTTTTTAAACTATTAACGTTGTATACAAGCTTTTTTAAAGCACTCTAGAGATGTTTTCTACAGACATGGAGCACATACATGAAGTATAGCCTAAGAATGACACACATGTGCTTAAGAATTGTATATTGACTGGAGCCTGCTTTGAATTCTGTGTCTCCCTCTCTCTCTGCCCCTCCCCTGCTTGCGTTCTGTCTCTGCCTGTCTCTCTCTCTCAAAAATAAATAAAACAAAAAAAATTTTAAAAAAAAAAGAGTTGTATATTGAACATTTTTAGTTTTTCAAATAGTAACTGAAGTTTGTAAAGCTTGCATGTTTTTGCATTTCTTCACAGACATATTTGCCTTCACAAGAGTTAAGCTATTTTCATTTTAATTGGGGAGGGAAAGTTGGTTACAGGGAAATCTGCCATCTTGACCATCTAGAATTGTGCTAAGTAGCTCTGGTAACATGAGAAACAGTATTAGGCTTTAAAAGATTGAGAGATTATAAACATTTTAAGATTGTGGTCAGCTTCAAGATTAATGTAAGACAAGGATCTGGTTTTCAGTCTGTGCCTGTGCTTACTAAGCTCTGCTTCCACAGGTTTATGTTCATTAGCTTTATATACTTCTGTGTTCTTGGTTCAGATTTCATATGCTTTTTGTTTCTTTGCTAGTTCTTAGGCATTTTCTGTTTTTGGATTTAAAACTTACGGCAGTATTTAGTGATATGAATTATACGAGAAGTCAAAAAAATTTCTCTCCTACCTATTTGAGACACTTTCAGAAATTACTGGAGAATCTTAGAAGTAACCTTAAAGACTTTAAAAATAGAGAAATGAAGAAAACAATTTCACAATTGAAGTATTTATTATAGGACCTGGTTATTAGAGAACCTCAATTTTTGTTACAATATTCTTGTTCCTAATGTCTTGGGCAAATAATCATTGAAGAAAAAATTAATACTTAATTTCAAGTGCTTTCCGTGCAGCTTAGTAGCAAATGCTTCAATGGCAGAGCCAGACATACGTATGTGGCAGAGTTCAAAGTCTGGGGTTGTTACTTCTTGAACTTCATTTTCTTCACATATGGAAGTGATAGCGTCCACATAAGGTTGCTGTGGGGATTAAATGAGAAAATCTTTATCACATACAAGGGCCCTAGTAAGTGTTAGTTTCCTTTCTTCTCTCACTACATAATTAAGATGTCTTAGAAATGTGAATTTTTCTCATGCATAGTATCTTATCAGTGTGCTTGTATGGTATGATATAATTAGCCTCAAATCCTGATAGTTAGGTACAGAATATTTAAAATAAGGTTTACCTTTATTTTTTAATCAAATTTTTTAATCAAATTTTTATTTTATTTTATTTATTTATTTTATTAAATAAATAAATAAATAAATAAATTTATTTATTTATTTTATTTATTTATTTTATTAAAAAATAAAAATATTTTTTAATCAAATTTTGTCTGCGGGGAAAATATGTAATGTCCTTATTTTTCCTGGAGAAAAATTACGTTAAGAAAGTCACCCAGCCAGGCAAATGGGCTAGATGTGAACTTTGTTTTAAAATATGCTGTGCAGGTACGAGTGCCCTCAAATGTGCGGTGGCATTTTGTCACGTATCCTGGGTTAAGCAGTTGTCCAGCACACGTGAGTACTTCTAATTTCTAGGGAGGAGTTAATTCATAAGAGTTGTGTTGAATGCCTGCTTTGTGTTAACATTTCTCGGAGACAGCCTAATGTATGCATTTGACTCGTCTAGCATTTCTGTTCTTGGTAAAGTAACAATATTGGAAGGCAAAACGATGGTATGCCATGTGCTGGTAATAATATCAGGATGTAAAACAGTGATATGCCATGTGGTGTGATCAATTAGAGTTAATTTTTGTTTCTCTCCCTTTAGTAAGACAGAACTCAGCGTTGTATCTCAGAGGGGCAAGAAATAGAACAATAGAATAGAATAGAAATTTAATCTTACGTAAATTTTTGGTGACATCTGGAACTCTATTTTCAGATTTTTGTATGCCTTCTAGTGACTCAGACATTTTTAATTGATTTAAATGTGTCCCACATGCTATACAATACCAAAATCAGCAGTTCAAAAAGCTTAGAACCAACTGCTGAGTTATCTACAAAAGCAGAGTGATCCGGTGCTGACTTTACTGTAATTGTATTAGTAGCTTCGTCAGTTGATGCCAGAATGGGAACCTAACCCCACTCTGTAAATAGCTTGGTTTTCAGAATCTCCCCTATGGTAAAATAAGAGAGCCATTAAAACTAATATGGGGAGGGGGGGAAGAGTGAAGAGTGACTCGTGTCTGCTTTGTTTGAGTGTCCAGGGATATGATACGCAAGTAAAGGTGTAATGTCTCTCTGGAGTCATGTAGCAAGTCATTGATTGAGCTGTAAATCCTGTAAACACGGTTGGACGGTAGTCTGTAGCCAGTTTTAGAACCTAAGTTTTACAGTTGAAGTCTGGCATGTAAATTTCATTACAGTGAGTGTTTTGAGGTTCACGTGAAGTGTAGGTGACTTCACTAGGTGGGCTATAAAGTGGCATACAGTGTTCTTGCCCATGTATTAATTAGTGCATACATCTCTTATCCTTTTTTTTTTTTTTTTTTTTTTTTTTTTTAAGTAAGTTCAGTGCCCAATGTGGGGCTTGGACTCATAAGCCTGAGATCAAGAGTCACATGCTTTACCAACTGAGCCAGCCAGGCACCCCTCTTATCCTTGTTAATATAAATTACTGAGTATTAGAAAGCTTTGTAAAAAATAAATACATAAATAAATAAGAAAAAAGAAAAAAATAAAGCTTTATATTCTTATTAGTTTATTTCTTTAAAAATTTTTTTTAATGTTTTATTTCTATTTTTGAGAAAGAGAAAGAGTATGAGCTGGAGAGGGGCAGAGAGAGAGGAAGACCCAGAATCTGAAACAGGCTCCAGACTGAGCTGTCAGCACAGAGCCTGACATGGGGCTCGAACCCAGGAGATTACAGCCTGAGCCAAAGTTGGACACTTAACTGACTGAGCCACCCAGGCACCCCTTATTAGTTTATTTCTAAATATACTTTCATATTGGATAACGTCTGGTTTTTCTAGGGGAAATAATTTTTTTAGTGTATGCATACCATAGAGGAGACTGGTTTTATGATTTGAGTTCATTCAACTTTACCAATTCTGTGAACCATAACTAACTTGAAAAATATCATATGTGCTAATGCACAATAATGTTCTGGTTTTTCTCTTCTGTTTTTAGAAACATTAAAGGAAATTGATGATGTCTATGAAAAATATAAGAAAGAAGATGATTCAAACCAGAAAAAACGCCTACAGCAGCATCTCCAGAGAGCATTAATAAATAGTCAGGAATTGGGAGATGAAAAAATTCAGATTGTCACGCAGATGCTCGAATTGGTGGAAAATCGGGCAAGGCAGATGGAGCTGCATTCACAGTGTTTTCAGGATCCTGCTGAAGGTGAGCGCGCCTCGGATAAGGCAAAGATGGATTCCAGCCAACCAGAAAGATCTTCCAGAAGACCCCGCAGACAGAGAACCAGTGAAAGCCGTGATTTATGCCACATGACGAATGGGATTGAAGACTGTGATGATCAGCCACCTAAAGAAAAGAAATCCAAGTCAGCCAAGAAAAAGAAGCGCTCCAAGGCCAAGCAGGAGAGGGAAGCTTCGCCTGTTGAGTTTGCAATAGATCCCAATGAACCTACATACTGTTTATGTAACCAAGTGTCTTATGGGGAAATGATCGGATGTGACAATGAACAGTGTCCAATTGAATGGTTTCACTTTTCATGTGTCTCACTCACCTATAAACCAAAGGGGAAATGGTATTGCCCAAAGTGCAGGGGAGATAATGAGAAAACAATGGACAAAAGTACTGAGAAGGCAAAAAAGGATAGAAGATCGAGGTAGTAAATGCCATCCACATTTTAAAAGGTTATTTGTCTTTTATATAATTCTTTCAGAATTTACTTTCAGAAAATGTTTTAGGGTAAATGCATAAGACTATGCAATAATTTTTAATCATTAGTATTAACGGTGTATTAAACGTTGTTGTACTTTGTCTGTGACCTTAATTTTCTGCACTGAATTACCAAATATTTTAAACCAGGTAGTCTTTAGATCGCCTGATGAAAGGAGCAGGGAATAGGGAGAGGGTGGTGTGAGCATTAGAACTTCACAAACCAGGCCTATTTCATTTTCATTGAAAACTACAATGCTGTTTCTGAGGTAAACACCAAAGTTTTGCTAGTATTTTAGTTCTCTGTGCTTTAAAAATTTAGATGAAGTTGGAGTTCTCTGTAAGCATTCAGATCATCTTGGGTAATTTAAGGTATGAACACTACATTTAGAGCTTCTTTCTCCCTAGCCCCATTTATACATACACTTGTTCATCTCTAGGCTTCCATGAATTTAAGGAGCTAGAGATAAGAATAATTTGGGATTCCATGTGGAATAATGTGCTCTTATTAGAGTATTTGCTGCTGTATTTTCCTTAGTAGCATTTTGATACACTGTCAGTAGCCCATTTGTAAATGCCTTCCTGCTGCATCATAGATACATTTAATCTAGTGCTTAATAAGGGAGTTGTGTTTTGTTTTGTTTTAATTGGGACAGGCAAGCATAGTTAGGTACCAAAAATGGTGCCATTGGCTTATATTGGAAAATTTGGGGTTCTGTAGTATCATGGTTCAAGGTTGAGCAATTTAGAAAAAGCATCTTCTTTAAAAACATTTTCCACGTGACCCACTGCTGAGTTGCCTAGCCACGGGCCTATCAGTGGGGACAAGGGCATATACTAGTCTTTAAATATTGCCTTTATGTCAAACAGGAGTTTCAATAGTTTTGCTAGTGGCTATAGTTGATTTCTGTCCCAATCAGTGATTATATATTATTTTAAGTAATAGTGTATTCACTTTCACTTTCTGGTACTGGTGCTGTTTGATGTTTTCATGTTTAATGAACTAATTTCATTATAACAATGCAATTAATAATGTATTTGTAAATTGAATTTTCCAAGATCCTGGTACTTTAAGAGTAAGCATATTGATGGATATATATGAACATATATTCGGAGAATTGTTTGGTCTGGGGGAGGAGGCAGATGATTGACCAGTCCTTTAAATCTGTGTGTAACGTAACTTTTTATTCCTCATTTCTAACTAATCTGATGATCTCGATTCTTTTTGATTAGCGTGAAAAATTCTGTCTGCTTGTTTGGAACAAAAAAAAATTGTTTTTTCTTCTTCTAACTCTCCTGTGTGACTTTTAGGCATGTTATTTCCTCTCATCTGGGTGTCCAGTTACACATCTGTAATACAAAATACAAGGTTGGCTTCAATATCTCCAAGGTTTTTTTGAAATCTATAGTTTTTGCACTATGGTAAGGATTTTAATAATCAAATGACTTGTTTTTCCCTTTTGTTAATTTTGTCCCTCATACTGAGATATGAAAATACTTTAAAGGTGATCTTTGAGACAGGTAAATGCACAATATTTGATTAACTTCTGTCCTAAGGATATTTTGCTTGATGACTAGAACTAGTTGGTTATATTACTTCTTGAGCGAGAAGTATTAGACAGCATGATGAAGAATTTATTTGTTGTAACATAGTTGAGTTGTAAAGACATTCTTTTCTCTCTTGAAAATACAGCATTTTGTCTTAGTGATGACATCCTTATTACCAAGATAGAGCTGTTTACCTGACACCATTAAAAATATCGGTATGTACAAAGTCTCCAAAAGCTTTCAGATGTCACTATATGGAAGTCAATGCTTTTTCATACATTAAATTTCCCTTAGCTTATGGGGAAAACAAAATAAACTTCTTAACAGAGGCCCCAAATTTGGATTAGGCTTGCTAGGAAAACAGACATGGAAAATCCTGTAAAATGTGCTCTCTTCAAGACCTAATGTTTGAAACAGTCTTATTCTTATGAATTTTTTGTTTGTTTTCTGTACCATACCACACAGGAAATAGAAGTCTTAAGTTTGCATAATATTTTGACTGGGATTTCTTTTTTAAGTATTCTAGGTTTCATATACTATCTCATATCATGGTTATTAACTCATGCTATAAACCAGGGGTTCCTAAACTTGTCTCAGAGTTACTTCAAGAGTTTCAAGAAATACAGATATCTCTCTCCCACACCCAACAATTGTGATCTCATTCATTTGGAATGTGGCTGAAACATTAGAATTTTTTTTTTAATCCCCAGGTGATTCTAATATACAGAAAAGTTTTGGAACCACTGCCATATTATGAAAATTTGAACCTGTTCGAAACTGGGTGTCTTCTCTACATTCAGACTTATGGGACTCTGAAGCACATCTAAGTTCTGAAACATGTGCAAGAGGTTGTCCCTCGCACCCAACAGTCTACCAACACTTGAAGACGCCACACTCGGGTGCTGCTTGTGTGCTGTTCTAAGCAGTGGCGGTTTAGAAGACAATCCTTGCTCACACACCAGACATTCTGATGGTCAGATATATGTAATGGTAGGGAACGGTTTAGAGGGGAGTAAAGCAGAAGAACAGAAAACGGATGGAAAGAGAGGTGAGTCTTAATTGTGGTGATTAAAGGTCTCAAAGGAAGTGATCTTGGAGCTGAGGCCAGAGGGGGAAATAAGGGAGGCAGGCAGAGGTTTAAGGGAAAGAGGGGTAAAAACAAGCTCATCAGTTTGACTAGAACACTTGACACAGTGTGGAAGGGACTAGAAACTGCTGACTCTCGAAAGCCATGGTAGGAAATTGGGGAAAGGTTTATATTGAAGAGTTTTTTGACGATCACAATGATCATCTGCACTCAAAATCTGGGGAGCCTTAGTGAAAATAGGGAGTCTCCGGAGACTCAGAAGCCTTTGCACAAGAAATGTTGATGGCTTACAGTAGGACTCTGCTTAGGTCTTCAAGATTTTTTTATTTTTTAAATTCACAGGATTCCTGTAGTTGCTTTTCAGCTTCAAATGGATATTAGCGAAACTTCAAGGATTTTGGCCCAGTGATTGGAAAGCAAAGAGATGACAAGGGTGACTCGGGTTTTGGGGTTGTGGGGAAAGATCAAGATTTCTGTTTGCATTTGGGTGTGAGATTCCTGGTAGACTTCTTGTGGGATCCAACGTGGAGTTGAGGGAGGGGCCGGGAGCTCAACATGTGGAAATTAGCCTGTGAGTAGAGTTTAAAGCCATGCGACTAAAATCACTTGTAAACACATGATTGCCTCTCAAATTTTTTTTAATGTTTGTTTGTTTGTTTATTTATTTTGAGAGGGTGAGAGAGAATCCCAAGCAGGCTCCACGCTCAGTGTGAATCCCAACCTGGGGCTCGGTCTCGAGACCTTGAGATCATGACCTGACCTGAAATCAAGAGTCCGGAGGCTTAACCCACCGAGCCACGGAGGCACCTCGAGTGCCTCTCAAATTTTAATGTGCACGAGTCACCTGTTTTTGTCAAAATGCAGACTTGGATTCAGTAGGTCTGGTGTGGGGGCCTGAGATGCTACATTTCTGACAAGCTCCTCAGTGGGGCTGATGCTGCTGGCGGGGGGGCGGGGGCGAACCTACATTTTGTGTAACAACTGGGTGGATCCAGAAGAGGGAGGGGTGGGCCCTGTGGCGCTCCAGGCTTGGAAAGGGGGAGCCACTGAAGGAGACTTCCAGATCTCTCCGAGAGATCAGCCAGAAAAATGTGGCACATCGGAACCAAAGGGAAGTGTTTCAAGAAGAGCATGGTCCCTCATTGAAGTGCCACCCAAATAAGACGAGGACGGCGGCTAATCACGTGGTTGGGGGGATGGCAGCCTTAACAGGCTGCGAGTTTGGGGATGAGGAACCGCTTGGAGTGGCCGGTGACCAGGAGGGCACAGAGGTAGCATCAGCAGTTACGGACAACTCAAGTTTTTATGTTTTTGTTTTATTTATTTTTAATGTTTATTTATTTTGAGAGACACCGGGCGAGCGGGGGAGGGGCGGAGAGGGAGCAAGAGAATCCCAGGCGGGCCCCGCGCTGTCAGCACAGAGCCCCGCACAGGGCTCGGTCTCATTACGTGCGATTGTGACCTGAGCCGAAATCAAGAGTGGGAAGCTTAACCGACTGAGCCACCCAGGCGCCTCAAGTTTTGGTGTGAAGGGAAGCATCATTGTAGCTGAGGTGAGCGAGCTAAGGGAGGATGGTAACTCCTAAGGAGACAATATAGCGTGACCATATTGGAATATTCCACTAGAAGGGGACAGGACGCATGCTGTCAGGAGAAGCGGGTTATTGCAACAGTCACATCTGAACAGGCAGGCAACAAGGAGTGAGCGAGAACTGAGACTCGTGACGGGTTCATCTCAAACAGGCACAGGGACAGCTCCAGTTAATGTGTCAAAAAGGAAGGTGGTTTTTTAACTCACTTGTTAAGATCTGTATTTGCTCATCTGTTACTTACAAGGCACTGTTTTTAGGCCTCAGGGAATAAAAGTGATCGAGACGACAAAAATCTGTGGAACAGGTGTGAATGCAGGCAGCTCGCTAGATTTGGTATTGAGAAAAGAGCTCGTTCTCTTCTAACAGCTCCCGCTTTCCCCGTGAAGGGCTGACACGGGGAAGGGACATGGGAAGTCTGCAGGAGTCCCGAGAGGTGTGTGTGAACGATGGCTGGGGACAGTGGGAGAGTGGCCGGGGAAGGCCAGTCCGATCCGGGGGTCAGCTGGAGCCTCGGGTCACAGCTTCACATGAGCTGATAACTCATTCTTGTTGCCTGGATGCAAGCATGACAAAAGAGACGGACAAAATAGCAAAATTTCAAAATATCCCTACAGCGAGCTGGAAAAATCGCAGCCCTCCTCTCCTTTTTATATGCCCAGTAGGTGGCTTCCTCAGAGGGCTCTGTCCTCATTACCCCCACCCGACCTGGAGAAGGAGCTGTCTT